ATTTCCTGGTGTTTCATGACATTGTCAGATTTATTTTTATCTTTTATTCAGAAACGATTCATTTCCAAGAATAAAACATGGTGTAAAGCAATGAATGATGACGCATAAAACTATTTGAAAAATATACAGCTTTATAACTCTCAAAGGACATTTTGCTACATATAGTAATCTCTTGCAAACATTAGCAGTAGATTCATCTCATAGGTCTGCAGTAAACTACTTTATTCCTGGAGGTTTTAGTTCCAAGCCTGCTGCTACTTACACAAAACCAATAGTTCTGAACAATCTGTAGAACAGACTTTCCTAACTGACTTTAATAAATGTGTGTTTGATGGTTGGAGAGTTGAAGCTAGACTGTGCAGAGATTCAGCTCTAGATCCCTATTTTAGTGGTTAAGTGTGTTCTGTGTCTTTTAAGATGTTACCTTTGAATGCGTATAAAATTAAATTGATGAAATTGTATAGTTCAAATATCATGCCTAGCAGTCTCTTGGTGAAAAGAGGCCCACAAAATCTGGGACTTCAGTGTTAAACCAGAAAGATGCAAACATCTTCACAGTTCCATTCTGGATTTATTATTGTCCTTACCATTCAACAAGGAAGGGAATATGAAACATAAACACGACAGGGAAGAGGAAGGAGAAAAAATGAAGGTGAGAATAAAGGACAGTTCGTCAGGCCAAGAGAGAAGAGGAGGGATAAATGGAGAGAAAGGTTTCCTAACAGGATCCCATTAGAGGCAGAGGGAGACAATCTGTCTGAGGAGGAGAGATGTCACTTACACTGTGAACACACACTCATCACCCCATCCCTTCTTCTCTCACACACTCAATCACTCGCTTGCTCGCTCTCTCTTCACTCTTGCATTCTCGCTCTATACCCCAAACTTGGTCTGAAACTGACACTCTCTCGCCTCGCTTTCCTCCATGTTTATGATAAAATTCATGAATGTTTCATTTCATTTATCTAAAAAATGTTTTGTGTGTTTTGGTTGTCTATTCAACTCTGGAATAGTATTAATAAGAAAATAATTTGACTCTTTATATTGTTCCTCTAATATAATGTCTGAAGTCATACACATAACAATATTAACACTATTTGTTTTTAAAAGTTAACAACATCCAAAGATCATCAGAGCTTAATATGTTGCCAGCTCCCCAAATGCATATTGTTTTCAATAAAAAAAGTCCAAATGTCATTACAGAATGGGAAAAGCAGGTTGCTGTGGAAAGTGCTAAGTGGGGAGTGCTCACCCTGTAGTTGTTTGGTTCCTTATGCCCCAGATCAATGAAGTTGACGGTGAACCATAAAGAACTGTCCTTCAGACAGGGTTAAACTGTGTTCCTCACACTCTGTGGTCATAAAAGATAATAGGATTTCTCTTAAAAAATAGGGGTGCAACTTAAAGGTCAAATTGTGCCACTAGTCCATTCCTCTCCATGTTTTTTTTTCTTAACAAGGTTCAGGAGGAGCTTAATTACCCACACGTCTTCACTTAATAATTTCTAGCTTATATAAGCACAATCAAGCCAGAGACACATCAACATTTTCTTAACCTCGCCTAGTACACTTCTCTTCAACTGTGTTTGCAATACTACGCTGGTATATGTATGAGTGAACTTGTGAACCTCATGCATACATTTTGTTTGTCCGTTTATTGCTTATCAGGTCACATTGTTCTGCTGGAGCTTATCACCTGTTCACATTGGGTGAGTACCAATGCTTAATTTGTCCATGAGGAGGTCCTGGAGCACCATGAGGGTGCTGTTCCAGGCTTTCATAGGGAAAGAAAATGTCCTGGATCTGGAGTTTGTCTCGATGGCAACCATTTCTTTTGAACATGGTTCCTGGGAAAGTTTCCAAACTTTCAAGGTTCAAGGCTTAAATTTGGTGCAATTCAAGGGTTAAAAACAAGTCAGTCTTGTTTAACTTTTTGTTGGTCAATATTCTCGTTAAATTCTCGAAGAATAATTTATAATTTATAATTTATAATTTATAATTTATAATTTATAATTTATAATTTATAATTTATAATTTATAATTTATAATTTATAATTAATAATATCGGCTTATTTTAAGGATAAAAATGTACAATTTTTAATAAACAATACATTATTTATTATATGCATTTTTGGCAAAAAAATGTTGATCCTGAAGAAAATTTTGTAAACCTGTCTAAATAGAATTTGGGCTGTGTTACTGGCCTCCAAAATGATCATCCACAGTTTTTTATCACCACAAATCTCTGAGGTTAAAAAAACTGAATGTAATAAATTTTGAAAATTCTGAAATGATTAACCAATCTCTGAGCAAAATATATTTTGGGTTTGGTACTTTGCAGACGACCCCTAAACGATCCTATATCAGTCGGCTGCGCATACACAGTAATGTATTTCAGCGAAGGTGGAGAAAGACATATTTTGACAAAAATAGAGTTGTAGCTTGTCCCCTATGTAAACATAGCTTTTATTTGTCATTTGTCTAGTAATTTCTGTTTATTTCCTGAATGCAACCCAATTCTTGCACACTGGGGCTGCAGTTGTGCTGCGTCATCGCGTGGTTGCTCTTAATACCTTCCTCCCCCTTGTATTTTCTTTTTTTATTATTAAAGTCCATCAGAAATTGACAGCCAAGTGTCACTTCAAATAGAAATGCAACAATTACAAAACACTGCTAAAATTAGATATGTCAAACAATTTCTTTACAGATTTTGATCAGGGGGGAAAGTAGCAGAGCCAATCAAACTGGTCCCGGTCCCGACCTGCAAGGTAACAAATCAAGCACTGGTGAGTACTCCCTGAACAGGTTTCCAGCCCATCACAGGCTCACATTCACTCCTACAGGGAATTTGAGAGTAACCAATCAACACCCAACATGTGGATACTACACAATGCTGATGGATTAGGACCGTCTTCACACATGTAAAACAACAATGTAAGGAATTAATATTAAAATGGGATTTAAAATGGAAGTGTGTTGGGGAATCTCAATTTCTCAATCTCATCCTGATTTATTTTAATTCACTTACATATAGTATTGATGGCTCTGAGTCTGTACACTTGGTCTTTTACAAGAATATTGTGAAGTAAGAACATTCCAATGTGAAAGGCATTCTCCTTTTTCTCTTTAAGAATCGAGGAGGTTCAACTCAGATTATCCTCAGAAGCATTCACACACACTATTGTGCTGCTCTTAGAATCATTTCTTGCTTTCTTTACCCCAGCATTCTTTTTATTCCAAACCTAATCACCAATCCTGGTCAAAAATTGCCATCTATTCAGTGAGCATTCTCCTTTTCCATGAAATCCTTCTTCACACCATCAATCACGATCCCTTTCTAATGTCATTCTCTCTCTAATCTCTAATCTCAGATAGAAAATAAACACAGATAATCTAGACAGACTTTGCAGGTTGATGACCGTGGATTAACTTCATGGTTAAAGTCAGGTAATAATTGAATGAAACACAGTTACAAAAGCTCCAGATGCTTTAAAAGCTCAATAAATCAAGCGAAACCTTGCAAGGTCAGATATGTGATTGGCAGGTCAACACACAAGACATACGCGGTCAAATCCCCAAATGCTAATGGGATTCTGCAAACTTCAATTCCGCATTGCAAATACCACAGCAGGAAATCCACATCCATAGATGCATGTTTAATTCATAGCATCACAGCAACCAATTCAATTCATAACAGCATGGAAATGTCACTCAGCTGAGCTCAAACCCCCTCAGATTGAGTTGGCACTAGATGGCACTGTTGGAAAGCTCCAGGTGCAAAAGGTTTTCAATGCAACTTTACCACTGCTGACTTTAATAGAATGCATTTTGAGCGAGATGCCACAGATGTGGATCAATGGCAGACTATTAAATATTCGAATGTACGTGGTACTCTCGCATCGCAGCCCTGCGTGATGCAGCTTTTAAACATGCACATGGACACAGCACACATGGACTCACAACACAGACTTCCTGCAATCTACATAGGTTTAATCAGAGAAGCACGCCACCCACCAGCGCACACACAACACACACTCTTCTGTCTAGATAATTATGCCTCTGAAAATTCACTTTGTGTTGATTAGCCTCTGAATGGTGAATAGTGCTGTGTAATGCTAGCATGGGGACTACATAGTACATTAATAATCATTTTGCTTAGTCACCCTTGTGGCATTCTGAATTGTCCAATTTAAATTGATACATTTGGTTGATTTTGGCCTTTTGGTTTGGTCTTTTGACATGTTTTGATCCTTTTAATACTTAATGTGTGTAGCAATATGAGAAACTGGAACTATATATGCAATGCTGTGGTTCTAAATAAAGCAGCTTTTATTTATAAAGTATTAAGTATAAAGTAAGCCCCTCCCATCACTGTCACCGACTCAACATTCACAATTAAGTGATACAAAATTAAAGTAAATCAGTTTGAATGGAACTAATAATCAAAATGTTTTGAAATTTTAGAGTTCTGACAAACTGTAGCCACTAATTTAAACCTAATATGCAAAGCTTGACTAATTGTGAGTTTATAAAACCAGTACAGTTATTCAAAGTAGAATTCAATAGAAATTTAGAAACTCTCTGTATGCTTTCGCTTTCTTTCCCCCAGCCGATCGACTTCACCTGCTCATATTTTACTCTTGTAAGGCATTGCACAGGTATTTTCACTCCTTTCATTAGGTTTCAATTGGGTATTCTCATGCAAACAGAATACTTTTCTCCTCTCATTCTCATCCTGTCTGTATTTCTAGACAATTTCTAGAGGATATACGATCAGTGAAACTAGATGATTTGAATGCTTTCTTCCCTTGGTTGGGTGTTTTTGTGCTTAATAGACTATTGTTTTCCTTTTCTCAACATTTTTCCTCCCACTGTATATTTCATTCCCTTCTCATCACCATCTCATTTAGTATCGTCTTGTCTTGCCAGCCTGTCACTTTCCCAAGCTCAAGCTGCAGCGATGTTCCCGTTGGATTGTCAAAAGAAAGGATTCTATTGAGATTTTCGGTGGCTCAGTCAGTAGAACATTGCATTAGCAACTCAAAAGTTGTGGGTTCAAACCCCAGGGAAAGCAAGAACTGACAAAACTGTAAGTCACGTTGGATAAAAGTGTCTGCCTAATACATAAATATAATGTAAATAGATAACAATGATACAAGTTGACACTTTATTTTTTTTCTTTACCCTTGTTTTATACATAATAATAATTGTCCTTTTCGGAAAACCTTTGGCTGCATTTTCAAAATGGATCTGGCCAAAAAAAAACAAACAAAAAAAAACAACAGCTTCGTTATAATGGGAAGACTTGAAAATAATAAAATGCTGATTTTGAAATATTTTAGGGTTTAAACCTCCAAATTCTTATAATTGGATGGAAAAGGACATACAAATGTATCCTTTTTGTTCCGGTGAAAACCATGGGGTATGGAACAGAAAACTGTTAATGAATTAACATAAACATAATCTTTTCTTTTTTTTAGAAACACTATAGAGTAGTATCTAATACCATGTGTGAATCCCTGGCTAAATTGCTAATCTTGTGTGATAAAGAACTTTATCACACAACGGCCAGGTAAAGCGCACCAGTAGATCGTAAGTGGGACAGAGAGAGGTTTAATTAGTCAACCCCCCATCCAAACATCTGCTGGAACTGATCAAACCAGCAACCTTCTGATCACCAGTCAACCTCCTTAAACATAACACAAATGGAAGGAAATGTCTAAGATGAAAAACAGTTCAGAACACTGCACACATCTTGGATTGTCCTTTCATTGTCGTGTCTGCTCACTGTTTCTTCCTAATTGCATTAATAAAAGTTAAAAATACAAATATCTCCACAGTGCTTCTGAAAAATTTAATAATAACGTCTAGAATCACTTACCAGTAAACAAATGAAAGTAAAGTTGAGAGCTAAACCTTAGCGAGCCGTTAAAAGAGGAAAAGTACAGTTTTAAACACTGTTCCTTCCCTTTATCCTCAGCTAGAGGCTTTTATTTCCCTCAAGGACAAAGAGTTTTTTGGTGTTTGAGAATGACTGACTTTCAAAAGCAGCTCCGCCTCTGATTTTTAAAGTGCAGAAATGACCTCAGCACATAACTAAGAACCCTCAGGAGAGGAAGCCAGATGAGATGAGCGTGAGAGAGAGATAGAAAGAGAGAGAGAGAGAGAGAGAGAGAGAGAGAGAGAGATAGAGAGAGAGAGAGAGAGAGAGAGATAGAGGGAGGAGACAGGTCACAGTGGTGCTTTACATGGAAAGAGTTTCTCCTCAGACAGGCAGGCATGACCTAGCTTACCAAAAAGGTCCTGACTGACCCATTCACACACTCTGCCTTAGGCTTTGTGCTCATTCAATGCACATCAAAGGTCTCTTCATTCTTTACTACATTTCACTTTTATAATACACTTCATTTTTTGTCATAACATTGTGTGAGGGTAGCGGAAAGGTTGAATGTTTCAGTGGAAGAAAAGAAAATGTTTGCATCTATAAAATTAATCACCAGAGTTAGTATCAAGCATCAGTGATTCCCCAGAGCGGGTGGGGGCTGGGGGGGGGGGGCTTATGTGTAGTTTATGTTATAAAACTTGCCTTATGTAAATAGAAATGACGATGAATATTATTGTGTTAATTATGACAAAAAAAGCAGGCTTAAAGAGCTACATAGTTCAATGCTTCAACACGTTTTCTTTGGCAGTCACTCCCTTCTTAATGATGAGTTTCTTGACTGGTCTTCTGAGTATTGTGCAAAACCTTTAACAGTTGGAAATGCCAAATCAATATTTGGTGTCGCTAGCATTTTTTTAAGTAGACAATGTACAGCCAAACTTTGCTGCCAAGGTGAGGTTGAGAAATAAAGTTTCTTGTCATGGCAAGATTGAGCACAGCAACGAGACACAAGGTAGTTCTACTGCTCTCCCAGACAGATTTCAAGGCAGATTGGGGTCTAATTCACTGCAATTTGCTCACTGATGTAAATATGTGATTTTGAAAGCATTTTTTTTGTTCTTATACGCTGATATTGCTCAGTACATTGAGTAAAAATATTTGTATACTATTATGTATTACTAATAAGATTTCCATACAAATAGAATTGAGACATCAGCAGAATGTAAAAGTGCCAATTAATATTAACGATAATGATTTAGTAAATTAAATGATTAGAGAACAGTGTGTAAATGACCTCAAAACTGAGAAAACCAAAATATTTAACAATACAGACTGATTATATCTAAAGGGAGATAATGTTTGGGTGGGGCAGACAGTTGCCACACTTCATGGCATTTGGGCCAGAAGCCCAACTTTTTAAATAACAAAATCCTGAGCTTGGGTTCATGAAACAGAAATATTTAAGTACATTACATTTTGGACATTGTGTTTTATTACTTTCGAGGGATATTGTCACACAGGTTTCAGGTCAAATGCTTTAAAACTACAGAAAAAGAGTTAAAGGGCATTTATAAAAATCATACAATGGTATTAGACACAAAAACAGCAAGTAGGCACAGATTATTGGACTGAATATTAAATCTAGTTGATTAAGGGTGTGCTGGGATGTGCATGTCCCTGTTATGCATCTTTAGTTTAAGTAAGAAACGCGGCAGCTCTCAAAGCTCTGTGGGTTTCAGAGAGGTCGTGTTGGGCATTGTGATGACAGAAATTGCTCCTATTGGAAATACTTTACTCCCTGGGGCGAGCTCTTCCTCTCTCTCTGCACTGCTTCCTTTTTCAAAACTATCTCTCAATCTCTCTGTTTCAAAACATATCTTCATTTTTTTAGATATGAGGAAAGAATTAACAGGAGATAGCCATGGCATTATGAATAATGTGACTGAAGAGAGTGTGACCTTGTAAACCCTGGTATAAACCCACAGCATTTTTGTTGTGAATGACCCAGAAACCAAAGTGGATCTAAATGCTAATTTAATGCTTTTAATTGTGACTTTATTAGAGTGGTTTGTTTTTGTTTTCAATTAGATGCACATTGGTTTACTGGTAAAATTCCATTAAACCTCCAAATTCACTCACAAGGATTATTCTGTCTTTCCAAGATTTTTTTGACCTGGTGAACAATGGCAGAATATTTTGACAGATATTTTAGTGAAAAGTGCAATACAGAGATATTTTTAGATGATTTGAAGAATAAAGCATCAGTGCAGTGGAGGATGAAGTAGAAATTCAAGGAGAGACACGGGAGGAGTACATTTGTTTACCCATAATTCCCACTTTTCATTTCCTCCTTGACTAAGCTTTAGAGGCTGAAGCATTTGGTTGCTTCTTTCTAGTACTCGCTCATTTTTTTCCCAGATGAACACTTTGTTGCTTGGAGCTGGCTCTTTCATATGCAGTCACTCACAGCACTTAAGGGGATTGTTCCATCCAAAAATTGAAATTCCTGATTTACTCTCTCTCTTTCTTCTGTGGACCATAAAAAAGATTGAGTTTTTAATTTATTTCATTGTATACAATGTAAATCAGTGGTGTGGCTTGGTGTGTCTGAGTGTTCCTTTTGTTTTACAGGTACAAGTGAAATATTACCTTCAGTTATGTGCTTAATATTATTTAAAACTATTATATGTGCAAACCAGAAATAAATCTGCCATAAAATAATCAAACTTAAGAAATTGTCATGCTATTTTTGTGGTTATCAGGGATTCTGTGTGCCCAGAAGAGAAACAGCCAGCAAACAAGATCACCTCCATGAGTACTCAGGCAGACAATAATTTTAAAGAAACAACCAACCAATCACAGCACTCAGCCCTCAGTTAAAAACCAAGATCAATGCACCTCCTCAGTTGTCAGATCTACGGTTCAAATCACATGATTGCTTTCCGCCTAGCTCCCATGTAGATAGCTCTGCCATTTCCACAGCACCTCCTCAGACAACGTGGCTTCTCTCAATCCCTGCTGATTTATTTCAGTTATTTTTCCCAAACATTTTTTCACAAAACTCTATAAATCCATTAATATAGTTTTTTTTACATAATCAATATTATTGCAACAAAAATTATATAAAATCACTAATAACTTCACTAAAATCACTAAAAAACTACAGAAAAAAAGTTGGGATTTTAAGGTTTAAGGCCGACTTAAACTTATTTGATAAAAAAAAAATCAAATATATTATGCAAATTAGAGACATATGGGTGAAAAGTTTAAAAATGATATCAACTATTCTTTAAAAATATAATTTAAAAATCTAAAAATATAATTGAACTCAATAATTAATTTCCATCATCAGTTCTTTGAGCGATCATGTAGATCAGAACAAAATGATGAAACTCAAGCTTATTGTATGTTTTAATGTCCTCAAGTTTAAGTATCTACAATACGGTCAGAGACGGTGAAGACAAAGCCAGAATTAAAATGAGTTATCAGCATCCAAGTGCACTTTAAATAAAAAAAAACCACTATAAGAGCTATGTGTGGTAATCAGACGAAGACTAGCTTACTTAAACATGTAAAAAAATCTTTTTTTTAAATGTACTTTTGAAACGTACCTTAAAGTTTGCTCTCTACCTGTCTAAATTTGACTACATCGTATACATAATATTTTCTTGTTTTATGACCAGCATAGAGAATTCACAAGAAAAGCATGAGTATAACTCTGTATAATTGTGATAATTTCTCACTCGTTTCCCCTAATGTAAGGTGGTTATCTTTAATACTGTCTTCCCTAGTGCATGGCTTACTTCCACGTCTTTATATCTCTCTGTACACCGCCTCCTCTCTTTGGCCTCTTGTTTAATCTCACTGCTCCGTTCGCTCTGGCTCCACTTTCCGCTTTCCCCTTATCGCAGTAACACATCCCTGGTCTAAAAACCCTCTCAGGCTCACCTGCAGCCAAAGCGGACTTACATTGACTTCCACAAACCTGCCATGGTTGTCAAACTGACCAGCCCTCCTCAAATTTCTCAGTAACACACATTTGGAACACTGTGATTCTAGTGGCCTGGCACTGTTGATGTGATGTGATTCAAGGAAGCTGGATCAGCATCAGTAAAACAGTGCTGGCCATTCCCAGTGTCTGATAACAGATCCAGATCTGTATGGAAAACACACACTATGCTAGCTTCC